AGGCAGCGGGGGGTGGGCAGTGCCACGCGACGGGGCGAAGGCGCCAGGCGGAGACTGACCTGAAGCCTCCCTCCCCAAATGCCCACCCGACTGGTCCCCACTGCCGGCCCTGGTGCGCGGGGGACCCCCTCCCAGTCCACAGGGTGAGAGGGGGGCTTCCCGTGCGCACACCCTCGCCCCCTCGGACCATCGGCCACAGCGCTGCTCTTCCGCTCGCTGCGCCTGGTGGCCTCGGGTCTCCTTGCGCAGAGCGCGCGGGCTGCAGGGGACGGTCTCTGGGTCCTTCCAGCCCGAGGCGCTGCCATTCTCCACCTGGACGTGTCAGTGGCAGATGGTGGGAGGGGGTCTGCGGGGGGAGTGGAGCCGGGGCGAGGACGCAGGGCGATGAGGAGGTGGAGGAAAGGAAAAGGGGGGCATCCAAGTACCTCTGCCAGACTAGCCCCGCAGTCCTGCCCCCCAAGATGGGGCTGGCAGAGCCTCTAGCGCCCCCAACAGGAAGGCCCCCAGGAGAACCCCCCTCACTTTCTGGAGCCTGGCGTGCCGTCACGTGTTTGCCAGAGGCTGGGGGAAGGAAGGGGAAGGAACGCGCAGGCTGGACTGGAAAATCCAGCTGGGCCAGCGACAGCCCTGGGCTGTCCCTCCCCCTGGAGGCCGAAGCCTGGCGGGCCCTGCCCCCACGTCACATGCCCTGCGGGACCCTGGGGAGCCCGGCCAGGGACTTGGCTGCATTGGGCTGAGAACATTGATCAGAAAGTCGGGGAGCTTTTGGCTTTGAGGCCAAACTCATGTGCTTTCAGGACTGTGTGGAAATGACATTATTGTTAACTTAAATCCATTTTCCTATAGACTTACTCAATGAGATCAAAGACGCCAGCTCTTAATTCATACGCTTGGTGGCAGCTCCCAACACATTGATCCAAAGGACTTCGTGTCCTCCCCCACCCACGCCCGCCCCCTCTGCAGGAAGGCGAAGCTCCCACAGAATGTCAGATGGTTCAGAGACGTATCTAAGGCAGCCTGGTTCCGAGGAGCTTAAAGATGCATGTACATATATAATATATAAACATATAGTGTTATGTTATATGTAAATATATATAGTAATATACATGTTTATATCCGTATACATGCACATGTATTTGGCTCACAGAATCTAGGGAAAGGTTAAATCCTAGTAGGAATGCAGGGATGTGACAGAACTGTCCAAGGGCAGCCCCCAAGCTTAACAACTTGAAGTCCCACCGACACTTTCCTCTAAAAACCTAGAGCCAGGGAATCCTCCGCAAACCACACAGAACATGTGAGAAAGCTCCGCGGAGGCCCAGACTGCTTCCGCTGGCCCTGGGTCCGGGCTCGGTCCTCTCCTGAGCCTGTGGGCCATGTGGGCTTACGTTCTGGTAAGAGCTCCAAGATACAAAGGCCCCGACGGATGAAGCCCACAGGTTCTCAGGCTGGGACCCACCGTCTAGTCCTGCCTGAGAGCTGGGACCAGAATGACGAAGCCGGCCTCCCTAAAGGCCTGTTCAGCACAAGTGTCCAAGGCCACTGTGTGCAGTGGTGCCCTGCACTGCAGCCCCCTGAGTGTCATTGGTGCTGTTGACTCCGTCAGGGCGCCCCCTGGAGTTGTGTAGTGCAAGTGGGTGTGGCCCTGGAGGCATTTCTGTTATTCAGCCCAGTTTCTAGAGACATTAGAAACAGAGCTTCCTGAGGAATGAAAAGACTCCAGGCAATGAGATGGTGACCTGTTTTCTCTGGGGGCCTCGCTACCCTCACCATCACTGCCAGCACAGATGAAAGCCTTACTTCTAGCCCCACCTGCCACATGAACCCCGAGAGCTGGCTCGCAGCAGCAGGGGGCATTCTAACAGTGGACCAAGCACTGGACTTATATTTAGAAACCCCAAGTCTCCATAGCAGAGGAGCCATGTGTCCTTGGTCAAGTGTCGTCCTAAGGATTCGTTTCCTAGGGCTGAGGAGTGACAAACTGCCGCAAACTCCTGGAGGCCAGAAGTCCACCGTCAGGGTGTGAGCGGGGTTGGCTCCTTGAGAGGCGCTGAGGGAATCTGCCCCGTGCCTGTCCCCCAGCCTCAGTGGCTGCTGGCCATCCCGGGGGTCCTGGCTTGCAGACACAAGCGATGGGCCTCCAGTCTCTGCCTCCACCTTCACATCACCTCCCCCTGGGTGTCTCTTCATTACATTTTTTTATGGAAGTGAAATAGGCATAGCATAAAATGTACCATTGGCATCAAGTACATTCACATCCTTCCCTCCTTTGCAAAGACAGTTATCCCTGGATGTAGAGCCCACCCTAATCCAGGATGGTCTCGTTTTGAGATCCTTATCTTAATTTCATATGCAAAGACCCCCCCCCCCCAAATGAGGTCATATTTACAGGTTCTGGGGAGACTTATTTTTTGAGGGGGTCATTAGTCAACCTAGCATCAGGTTGTTATGGGGTGGGGCCACAACATTAGTAACAAAGAAACAGAATTTCCAGACGATGGGGCCCAGAAATCAGGATCTTAAAGATTCCCAGGTGATTCTAATGTGCAGCCAAGGTTGAGAACCACTGTTCTAAGTGGGATGGGGGCACAGCAGGGGTTTGACACAACTTGGTTGATTCACAGACCCAGGGAGCTGCTGGGTGCTGTCTCCGTGTTTTCCTTTCATACTTTGTGGTGGTGGTGGTGGTGGTAATGCCGGGGGAGGGGGAAGGCAGTGTCACCAACTTCATGGGGAAACTGATGCAAGCTACAGAGCTTCTCCCCAGAAAGGTGCTCGGAAGCAAATATTCACAGTATGTTGCACAGAGTTTCAGGGGATCCTTGGACCCCCTGAGGGCCAGGGCGAGAAGCCCCTCTTTAGATAACACACTCTCCCGCTGGTTGGTTTTACTCCAACCGAACAAAAGCTAGCCTTGCTCCTTCACTCATCAGTGGGCGTGGGCGGTGCGGCTTCCACCCTGGCTCCCAGGCCCCGTGCTACCTTCCCCAGGCCCCCTGGCTCAGTGCCCACTGTAAGCCACAGCCCTTGGCTAGGAGTTGAATACAGCACCTGTTCGGCATTTGAGGGCTTAAAAAAAAAAGAAGGGAAAAACACAACAGACTCAAGTTTTAAAAAAATCAGACAGAGGGATCATCCTTCCTGCCAAACATCGTAAGTCACAGGACTCTTATTTGCTGAGTGGGACTAAATGGTATTTATGACCAAGAGGCCCTGGACTCACCCTGAGCTGAGTGATCCAGGAGTTACCCAAACTCTGGTGGCAGGGGTGACTGTGGGCTGGGAGATCAGATAGCTTGCAGGGGAGGTTTTATTGTTTTTATTCATGGATGATGTGATTTCTCCCCCCAGCATTTAACGTTAAGCATAGTTTCAGAATTTTAGTATATGTTTCTGGGAAGATGATAACCCAAACAACATCTGTTTACTTGACGTCAATTATGTTCTTGGAATTGGCCTACTTGCTGTGGGGCTCATTCATTCATTCATTCATTCATTCATCTATCCATTGTTTATTAGGTGCCTTCTCTATATGAGAAGCTGTTCTAGGCACTGGGGACACAGCAGTGAACAGGCAACAAAGGTCTTTGTCCTAATGAAGTCTTGGCAGGAGAGACGGCTAACACAACATAAACAAAACATATATGTCAGGTGGTAATGTGTGCTGAGGAGAAAAACACAGCAGGCAGGGGCTAGAGAGGGCTGGGCCTGTACAGGAAAGGCTTCTTTGAGCAGAGGCCTGAAGGAGTGAGGGAGGGAGCCATGCAGGGGCCTGGGGAAGGTCCAGAGAGGAAGGAGGGTCGACCACCAAGTGGTCAATCCTGGTTGATAACCTGCAGGGCCAGTTCCCACAGCTGGGGATGTCAAGGTTGCTGGATGAGCCCAGCCTCTGCCGGAGCCTATGGTCCTCCCTGGCTGTGTTCTTGGGTCTTCGTGTCATGTGTAGAGGACTCTTTCTTCCTCTCCCTTCCCCCCTCCCTATTCTACCTATGCTTTGAGGAGCCCCAAATCTTCTGCTGAAAGCTGGATGAAGTTGGAGATATTTGAAGATGTTGACCTTTAGGAAGGTTATACTACTTGCTATAGACAATGTTTGTGTCTCCCAAATTCATATGTTGAAATCCTAACCCCAGAGTGGTGATATTAGGAGATAGGGCCTTTGGGAAGTAATTAGGTCATGATGGTGGAGTTCTCATGTATGGGATTAGTGCCTTATAAGAGACCCCAGAGAGCTCCCTCACCCCTTCTGCCATGTGAGGACACAGTGACAAGACAGCTGCCTATGAACCAGGAAGCAGACTTTCACCAGAACCTAGCCAAGCTAGTGCCTTGATCTTGAACTTCCCAGGCTCCACCGCAGTGAGAAATAAATTTCTATTGCTTATAAGCCATCCAATCTATGTTATTTTTGTTAAAGCAGCCTGAAGGGACTAAGGCCTATTAGAAGAAATATAGGGGATAGAGGGACAAGCTAAAGGACACCAGCAAGAAACAATCAGATAAATCCAGAAAGTGGGACATTCTACAAGACAACTGGCCTGGTCTCTTAAAAAAAAAATGAGGTGGGAGAGACCAAGATGGCGGCATAGGTAAACACCGCAGACTGCTGCCGCAAACAACCACTTCAAAAATACAACTAAAAGACGGAACGGACATCACCCAGAACCGCAGGAAGGCTGGCTGAGGAGAGACTCTTCAACTAGAAGGAAAAATAACAGCACACCGAGGCTCAGAGGAGGCGCAGTGTGGAAAAAACTCAGGTGCGGAGGTGCGCGCGCAAAGCGGGCTGGTGGCTGAGAGCGCGGTTGTCGTTTTCGGTCAGGGGGGAGTCTCAGACTCTGAGCTCCAGATACGGGCGAATCGCTGGGGACTCGGACCCAAACGGGAGAAGCGGGAGTGTCTGGCATCAGTTGGAAGGCAGCTTTCCCTCCGAGGTTTGCAGCGGTTCCGGGGGTTCTGAGAAGCAGAGCCTCTGGGAACGGGACTGAGAGGGGCCATAACCGCTCCCTCCGCCCGCCCGCCCTGTTGAGCCCGCCCCGCCCAAGCCCTGCGCAGAGCCATTTGCCAGATCGCCTCAGGCAAAGGCTAGATTAGCACCTCCCCAGAGGACAGAAGTTTTCCGCGGCAGACACAGCTGATTCACACAGCCAGTCGGCCTGGTGGTCAAATCCCTCTAGTATTAACTACAACAATCAAGGCTCAACTAGAACAAGACTGCGCACAAAGACCACTAGGGGGTGCACCAAGAAAGCATAAAAAATGCGGAGACAAAAAAACATGACAGAAATGGAGGATATAGAGCTAAAAATCGCAATTTTGAGGGCTTGCAAAAATGTGCTAGAAGCTGTCAATAAACTTGAGGAGAGAGTCACGAAAACTAATGAGACCCTCGATGCTATGATAAAGAACCAACTAGAAATTAAGCATACACGGACTGAAATAAAGAATATTATACAGACACCCAATAGCAGACCAGAGGAGCGCAAGAATCAAGTCAAAGATTTGAAATGCGAAGAAGCAAAAAACACCCAACCGGAAAAGCAAAATGAAAAAAGAATCCGAAAATACGAAGATAGTGTAAGGAGCCTCTGGGACAGCTTCAAGCGTACCAACATCAGAATAATAGGGGTGCCAGAAGATGAGAGACAGCAAGATATTGAAAACCTATTTGAAGAAATAATGGCAGAAAACTTCCCCCACCTGGTGAAAGAAATGGACTTACAGGTCCAAGAAGCGCAGAGAACCCCAAACAAAAGGAATCCAAAGAGGACCACACCAAGACACATCATAATTAAAATGCCAAGAGCAAAAGACAAAGAGAGAATCTTAAAAGCAGCAAGAGAAAGAGACTCAATTACCTACAAGGGAATACCCATACGACTGTCAGCTGATTTCTCAACAGAAACTTGGCAGGCCAGAAGGGAATGGCAAGAAATATTCAAAGTGCTGAATACCAAGAACCTACAACCAAGAATACTTTATCCAGCAAAGCTATCATTCAGAATTGAAGGTCAGATAAAGAGCTTCACAGATAAGGAAAAGCTAAAGGAGTTCATCACCACTAAACCAGTATTATACGAAATGCTGAAAGGTATCCTTTAAGAAGAGGAAGAAGAAAAAGGTAAAGATACAAATTGTGAACAACAAACATGCATCTATCAACAAGTGAATCTAAGAACCAAGTGAATAAATAATCTGATGTACAGAATGAACTGGTGATTATAATGAATCAGGGACATAGAAAGGGAATGGACTGACTATTCTTGGGGGGGAAAGGGGAATGGGAGATGCGGGAAGAAACTGGACAAAAATCGTGCACCTATGGATGAGGACAGTGGGTGGGGAGTGAGGGCGGAGGGTGGGGTGGGAACTGGGAGGAGGATAAAGGGAATTTTAAAAATAAAAAAAAAATGAGGCAATGAAAAATAAAAGGATGGGAGAACTGTTCTAGATTAAAAGGAATATATAACCAGATGGGATGCATATTCCTTTAGCAGACCCTGGTTAGAACAGGCAACCTATAAAAGACATTTTAGGGACATTTAGGGGATTTTAATAGACTGGATTTCGAATGCTGTTCAGAAATTATTGTTAATTTCTTAGGTGTGATAACAGGGTTAGCAGAAGAATATCCCTTAATTTTGGATATGATGTTGGTGTGTGTGTTTGGGGGGCGGTGGGAGGCAGTGACATAATTTATTCTGAGATTGTTCAGCAGAGTAAATAAGCAAGTAAATACAATCTAAGATCTCTAAGTTTCAGCTTGGTTCCAGGGAGGAAAATGAGATGCCCCAAAGAATACGACTCACCTTCCTGTGCTCTGCCAGGCCCAGGTGCTTGACAAACCCCAGGGTATGGGCTTTCTGTGTGATCAGGGATGGAATGTGCACCAGCACCTGGCACCTAGTAGGTGTTTAATTGAAGTTGAAGGAATGAATGGACAGTCTTTGTGGGGTTCATCTCCTAGGATGGGCTCTGGCTGAATACTCCCGCCCAACACATTTCCGTCCCACCCACCCTTCAAGCCACCACAGAACAATTGAAAACTTGGGTCCATCACGAGACACGGGTGGGGTGTCAGCCAGGGTCACCTTTAAGGACTTGCCTAGGAAGGTCTGAGGTCTCCCCGAGTCCCCTCAGCATCTCCCTGTGGCTGGGCCTTGGAACTCAGCTACTTCCGTAGCCTCTTGGTTTAAGGCAAAAGTAGGTTGTTCAAAGTCCCTCAATCATGAACAGCTGGCCTGCTGGTCCCTAATTATTTCACTAAATTGGGTGCTGCATGTTTAACAGCCTGTACCCTAAAAGGCTCCAAGGCAGGCACCCAATAAGAACTTAGTGATAATAATAATAAAAATAGCTAACATTTATTGAGCAGTATTTCCAAGTGTCATGCTAAGTGTTTAACACAAGTTACCTCTTTAATTCTCCTAAGTAGTTGTATCCCTTGGGGCATCTCATTCTCCTCCCTTGAACCAAGCTGAAACTTAGATATCTTAGATTTTATTTATTTACTTGCTTACTTTGCTGAACAATCTCAGAATAAATTATGTCCACCCACACATACCAACATCATATCCAAAATTAAGGGATATTCTTCGGCTAACCCTATTATCACACCTAAGAAATTGGTTTGTTTTTTAAAAATATGTTTTTATTGATTTCAGAGAGGAAGGGAGAGGGAGAGAGAGAGAAACATCAATAATGAGAGAGAATCATTGATTGGCTGCCTCCTGCATGCCCCACACTGGGGATCGAGCTTAAAACCCGGGCATGTACCCTGACCGGGAATTGAACTGTGACCTCCTGGTTCATAGGTTCATGCTCAACCACTGAGCCATGCCGGCTGGGAAATTATGGTATTTTTTTACTTGAATTCCTATCCCCATTTTACAGCCCGGTTCACAGTGTCACAGTTAGGAAGTGGCAGTGCCAGGACTCAAACTCTGTCACCTCATTCCTGCTTCTCTTCCCAGAGCGATGGTCCGGCCAGATCTTCTGTGGCCTCAGAGGCTCAGGGGTCCTTTGTGCTGGGGCCAGTGAGCACTTGAGGACAGCCACATGGGAAAGCCACCAGGGCGCTAACGCTGCAACTCCGGGAGGGTCTATTGCTCCCTACCAGGCTCCATGAAGACATGATTATCTACAACAAGAGCACACGTCCCTTTCTCTCACAGCCTTCGGAAGCACACCAAAGACAATGACAACCTGTGTCATCTTGTATGGAAGTGCCTGGGAGGACCCTTTCCCCAGAGGTCAGCCCGGGAGGTACAGACCAGGGTGCAGACACACCCCTTCAGCTGGGAAATGGCTTTCTTGTCAGTCATTGGGGAAAGGGCTTCCTGGCGGGTTCCCCCAGCACCTGAGCTGGGACAGGCCACCCTTTCTTGTCCGTGCTCCTTTCCCTACAACCTCCAGGTTGGTGGAGGCTGGTGTTAGATAAACACCTGTTGTCCCGGGTGGGCTGTGCCCAGATTTCCCACCCCCGACTGCATCCTTTCAACAGGTATCTGGTGACCAGCCCATGAGCGCGCCAGCCTGCTTCGCAGATGTTAGGTTCCAGCCACAAAACCAAAAAAAAAAAAACCCCGGGCTGGGAAAGAGGAGTCCAGATTTCACTGCAAATGAAGCTTCCCAGAGCTGCTGACTAAGGATTTTTCTTTCCAAACATCTGAAACAGCAAACAGATTGTAAATTAAGAGGGAGTTACAAGATAGTAGCTGAAGGGAGACAGGCCTCCCGGTGTTCTGGGTTCTAGCTGTGGCCTCCCTGACAGGACCTGGGCAGCCGGGAAAGGCGATTAAACCGGAGGGGGGAGAGGGGGCCGGGGTGGAACAGGGGTGCTGCCGGGGCGTAGCAGGTCACTGGCGAAGAGCACAGGCCTCTTCTTTGAGCCAAGGGAGCGCAGTTCATTCTGACGGGAGGGGGAACACTGGTCTGTGTCAATCTCTTGAGCCCCTGAATGAATGAATCCCACCCAGATCAAAGTTCAGGCTCCCAAGGCAACGCAGCAAAAATAAAGTGAAACAAAGCGAGAACCCACTTCAGCAACACTCCCCTTGACCGGAGCATTGAGTGAGGAGCTGGGCGGTCCTTGGGCCACACTTCTCTCGTCCCACTGAGTCAAAATAGTCATTTCAGTCAAATGTCTCCAGCCAGCCGAGGCTTGACTTTATAATGAAAGAGAGCCTCTAGTGTGGTGATAATCCTGCTGGATTTGGGGTCCCAGGATGGGGTGTCTAGGCCCAGAACCTCACGGTTAGGAGTCACCTCCCCTACCATGCCTGCAGCAACTCCAGCCCCAACATGCTAGTCCTGCTTTGTCTAACAGAAAAAAGGGGGTGGGGTAAATGGGATGGTGAAAGCTGGCAGATGGCCAGGCAGGTTTCAACATGGAGCATGGCTTCAGGTGCCCTTGCCATGTCACTCGAGTTTAATGACTACCAGTGTGACATTTCTTTTCAGGAATATCAAGCTTTGTCTGAGGTCCTAAACGTGTGGTTTATCTGTGCCTCTCTGAGCCACACTCAGACCTTTCTCAGGTGCCAAGAGGTGCTTGGGTTTGTTCAGAGCTTGCAGAATTGAACTGGTGATTGATAGTATCCTATATAATAAAAGGCTAACATGCAAATCGACTGAACGGCAGAATGACCAGTTGCTATAATGCGCACTGACCACCAGGGGCAGACACTCAACACAGGAGCTGTCCCCTGGTGGTCAGTGTGCTCTCACAGGGGGAGCACCACTCAGCCAGAAGCCGGGCTCTGGCTGAGCACAGTGGCGGTGGCAGGAGCCTCTCCCGCCTCCGCGGCAGCGCTAAGATGTCTGACTGATGGCTTAGGCCCACTCCCCGTGGACATCCCCTGAGGGCTTCTGGACTGTAAGAGGAAGCAGGCTGGGCTGAGGGATCACCCTCTCTTCCCCCCCCCCACCCCCCCGAGTGTACAGATTTCATGCACCAGGCCTCTAGTAGGGTATATTTTGGAAAAGTTCAGATGGGGCTTGAGATGGGGACGCTAAGATGTCTGACTGATGGCTTAGGCCCGCTCCCCGTGGACATCCCCTGAGGGCTTCTGGACTGTAAGAGGAAGCAGGCTGGGCTGAGGGATCACCCTCTCTTCCCCCCCCCCACCCCCCCGAGTGTACAGATTTCATGCACCAGGCCTCTAGTAGGGTATATTTTGGAAAAGTTCAGATGGGGCTTGAGATGGGGTTCTCAGTATCTTTTGGCAAAGGCAAAGCCCAGATTTAGGAAGGATCCCTGTCCAGTTCCGGTTCCCAGGGTCTCCTGCTTAAACTGGGTGAGGAAGCAAACACTCCTTGACACTGTGCCAGGGACCAGGGGACAAACATGACCCAGAAGCTGACCCAGGAGCCTGAAGCCAAAGCCGGAGGGAGAGAGATGAGCAAATTGGTCATCATAAAGCAAGAGGACAGGTGCTGCAACACCCCTGGCCACACTGAGAGGCTGACACTCTGCTCTGGTTGAGCGTTCAGTCCCTGGCATCAGAAAGACCCGGGGCTCAGGCTCTTCTGCTTCTCAGCTGAGGGCCCTGGGGGAAGTTACAGAATGCTGCATGTCTTGGTTTTCTCACCAGACAATGGAGGCACGTTCAGTTCAGGCACCTCTCAGGGTTACTGGGAGGATTCGGAGAGAGGAGGCCGAGTGCAGAGCCCGTGTCTGGCAGTCTTGTGAAATTCAGGGGCCATACGAGGTCCCTAAAAATATTCAGGCAAAGGCTAACCGACCACCATTCCAGAGGAGATTCAGGAGAGTGTAAATGAAAAGGCCAAGAGTCAGGAAAACTGGCTCAGGTCCTGCCTCTGGCTACAGATGCGTAATGTTGTGCAAGTCAGTTTTCTTGTCCAGCCTTCACTCTCCAGCTCTCAGAATTTTATCATCATTGGCTTTGAACTTTTGCTAGCAATGGAACCCACCCTTTCATCAAATGAGATCTTCTGCAATCCCTCCTTCCAGTTTATCAGCCCAAGGTGTTACTGCTGGACACCCTTTCACTGCAGGACACGGGAGCAGGGCTCCTGGGAGTGGTTTGCAAAGCACTGGGCCAGCCAATGTTCCAGCCCTACCTTAGTTTTCAATTCTATAGACTTAAACCCCTCATTTATACATGAGGGATGGGAGACTTAAAAAAGGGATTATCCAAGATCTTATAGCTGCTTCTTGGCAATTATATTTAGAACACACAACTCCTAGTCCCCTTCCACCCCACCAGGCTGCTCCCTACTTCCACCCATGATTTGTCTTAGCATTTGCTCCCCCAAAGGCCCCAGTGCTGGCCTCTATAGATCCTCACCCCGCCCCCCACCCCAGAAAAGCACCAGGAACATGACAGATCCAGTCTGAA